TAGGAGGGCGAGGGGGGGGCCTCCACGCCGCCGGTCTCAGGCGTGGGCTTTGCCTGTGTCAGACCTGCGTTACCAGCCCTGGGCGGACGGCTTTGCCCCCTGACTGACCGGGGGAGTGCTGCTTGCTGTATGGAGCCTTTGGGGGTGGGGGGGAGTCCTGAGCAGGCTTGGCGAATGTCACCTCATCTGTAAAATAAAGAAACGCTGTCATTTTCACACAGCTCCACCACGCCGTTGGTTTTTTGGGTTTTTTTTTTTTTTTTGGTTTTTGCTTTTTTTTATGTTTTTGTGGTTTTGTTTTGTTTTCCTAAGGGGTGAGGGGGCCGTTTGCTGCTCCGGGGCAGTGATGGCAGGGGTGTGTGTACTTTGCTTGGCCACCTGCTCTGGGCAGCTCCGCACAAGGAAACGCCAACGTCCTCTGACCTTCCCTCGCTTCTCACTTTCATTTTCCACCTCCCGGGGTTAGTAAAATGGAACTGTGGCTCCTCTTCCCCTTCGCGCTGAAGGCCTGGCCAGCGATGTGCTTAGCAAATACCCATCTCTCAACAAGTGGCTGTTGGGTCAGCAGTGGGTGAAGGTAGTTGTTACGGGTTTGTGATCGATGGGGATATAGTGTGTGTATGCGTTACATCAAGCCACCTCCCAGTCCGAGCCTCTGTGGCATTTCTGGTCTCTGTAAACATCCGCTCATGCAGGCAGTAGCTGTTTACAGGTGCGCCTTGCATGGTCCTGTCTATGAAAAAATAATTGGGTGGGAATGCCTCGCCTACCTTAACCAACCTGTCGGCAGCCACCTGGCAGCTGTGCAGCGCCATGGTCCCTCCTGACAACCCACTCTTGTATGAACATGTGCAGTGATGGGAACGTGGGGTTTTGTCACGGCACAAATATGCTGCTGCTTGTATTAACTGGTTATTCAGATACCAGTTTTGTTAAACGGAGGAGTTGCAAAAGGTGTAATGATAATTCTGTTCCGACTCTTGATAACATCACGTAAGTGACTTCTTTAAAATGTAGTTGAAAGTAGTTTAGTTGTTTGGTTCAAGTCCACTTTTTTTTTTTTTTCCTGGTGGTGTGATTTTAGTTCTGTATCAATAACTTTTGGCAATAATTCTTAAGATTTCGGGAAAGTCACAGATCTGAAACCACACCAAGTTGATGGAGGCTGTTGATTGTTATGGTCTTTCCCGGGCTATCACAAAAAATTTGAGCTAGTGTATCTCTCATGTTTCTGTTCCCTGCTTCTTTTTCTGAGTTGCTTAGAATACAGCCTTTTTAGAAAGTGGTGTTTTTCTTACTCTAGAAGTGTATTTTATAGAGCATAGAATAGTTCAGTTTGTGTGTGGTCTTAAAATTGTGTTTCACAGTGAAGAGTACTATGAATTATTCATCTGTGTCATTCTGGACTTATTTAAGTGTTTGTGAAAAAAGTTCTGGAAGTCAGATTTCATACTTTTGAAATAGAAGTCCACGGCTAAGGTGATGCAGAACGTATAGCACCTTGGTTTCTACTTATGTATCAATGCAACAACCATAAAAGTGCAAGGAGCAGCATGCCACCAGAGCTGGTTGTCATGCTTCTTAGGATGCAAAATTGAATAGTGCTTGTATTGGGTTTCCTTATGACACAGATTTTTCTAAATATGTTTTGGGACAGTCCTGATGCAAAATTGCATACTTCTTTTGAAGTTTACATTCAAATGAGCCGATGAAACCAATCTTTTTTTCATGCTAACATTTCTGGTTAGTGCAAAGCTTTCTCATTTCTCGGAATTGACTTTCTGCCTGCGTGACTCATTCTGTGGTCTCATTGTTCAGTGGACATCACATCAGAAGTCATATTGGAGGTGACTGTAGTGAACAAATACTGAGTTTATGATATCATTAATTGAATTGGGCAGAAAGAAAAGGATTAGGAAAAAGTGATGTCCAGACATCCTGCAGTAAAACTATTTTTTGGAAAGGCAAGAACAATTCTTGATCATGTAGGAAAGACTCAGTTATGTTTCGGTAAATCTGACTCTTTTCACAGCCACATGTACTGTTTACTTTCCAATCCTGTGTGTTTGAGATGTTTATTTAGAAAAATAGCTATAAATTAGGGTAAAAGGAAGGAAACACATGACATTTCCAACATTAGGGTGGTTTATCCTAAATTATTTCGTTGGAAAATTTTAGGCATTGCATGTATGAGTACTGATTTGTTGTAAACCTACTCATAGACTTCTTTGGTCCACCACTTATTGTGGTGTTTTTTATCAGAAATGGTGCATCCTAGAGAACAGAATTATTTGAAATTATTCTTCCTTTATTTGACATTATATTTGAAAGAGTAAGTATAGATTTTTTTAAAAAAGCATATTTAAAAAGAGAAGGCTGTAAATTCATCTTGTCCGTGAGTTGAATTGGAATCTAGTATTTTCTATGTAATCATCAGAACGTGCATGTGTTAGGTCTTCTTTATACCCATTACATATTTATGTATGATACATAAACCAAGAGGGAGAGCGGGAAAAGCTCACTCTGCTGGAGGAAGTAGTATATTGACATTGCTTATACAGTATTGCTGACAAAAATATAATGAAAAGTATAAAACTTAATTTATCATTATAATGGGCATGCAAGAAGCAAGTGTATCACAATTTAAAGTAACTGAAAAACACTAGGAGTAGTACAGTTTAATATAGACCATTTTCTGAACACTCCCATCCTTCTAAATCTATATTAAAATTGTAAAATGTCCTAGAACTGAAATGAAGGAGCACTAGTTAGAATTGGCATGTCATTTCAGACATGGTGGTGTGATTTGGGCTGGGTTGGCAAAGGATCTGGATGTCTCTCTGAATAGCTTGAGAGGAAATTACTCAGTAAAGTGAGGTATGAAGAACAGAATAGAAGGTAATATGCTGCCTTTAAACCACTGATGATGATTGTTTGAGTCTCACACAATTTTCTGTTTCTTTCAGAAAAGATACAGAAGACGATGATGAAAAATCTCCCTTTCTTGAGAATGGGGCCTTTTTTTGCATAGTTCCAATTTAATTGTGGAACTTGCCATCAAAGGTATGGGTTTGAGGAGGTGTGCGTGTTTGTGTTTGGTTTGGTTTGGTTTTGTAATTATGAAAGTGAATAATGTTATGCAGGCAAAAGTTAGTCATTGGGTTATAAAAATTCGGGATATATTTCCATTATGAGCTTTCTTACTGTTTTCTCAGGATCTCTCTCGCTGTTTATTGCTCACACATTATACTTAGGTCACTCGGAAACAAGTATTTCAGTACTTACATCTCTCTGTTTTGTTTGTTGAGCTGTTATTTCCCCTTCTGAGGAAACACTGTGAAGTCATGGAATCTCTGATGTTTTGGTAAGATGGAAAACAGATGGATTCCTCAGCAGTCAGCAGTGTTTCTAGCTGCCTCTAGTTTTTTTGGACTCTGTTTCTATCAGTCTACATGATTTGCCCTTTGTAAATCCATGCTTACTCCTCCCAATCATCTTCTTTTCCTTCATGGAAACAGTTTCCAGGATTCTTTACTCCACTTTCCCAGGGATCAGGGTGAGGCTAACACACCTTCAGTTGTGTTCTTCATCCTCTTTCTTGCCTTTGAAAACAGGGTTGACAGTTGCTTTCTTGAGTCCTCCGGAACTTCACCCATAAGCTTAAGACTTTCAAACATAATCGAGAGGGGCCTCACAGGGCCAGCTCTCTCAGCACTCATGGTGGCATCTCATCAGGTCCCATAGAAGTGTTATGTCCAGTTTGCTTAAAGGTTTCTTAATTTGATCCTCCCTTGGTCAGAGTAAGTCTTTCTTGCTCCAGACTTTCCCACTGGTCTTCAGGGGCCTGGGCTTCCAGAAAGCAGGTTTTACCCATAAAGAGCAAGGTGAAGGTGGCACTTTGACCTTTTTGTATCTTTTCACCACCCTATTCAGCAGCAGACCCACGTTTCCACTAGCCTTCCTTACACTGCCCTGTAAATACACTGTAAGTATGCTGTACTTGACCTTAGTATCCCTCACCAGATTCAGATGCGAATGGAATTCTGCTTTCCTAACGATATCCCAGTACATCCAAGTGTATCAGGTGTGTGCAGACACTTGATGTGGCTCCACTTCACCTTTGTTCTGTTGATTATAAAATCTCTGTTTTCCACATCATGCTGCATCCTTTGCTTCCAAACCCTGACCACCAGTCCCTCACTCGATTGTAGGTCACCACCTCCCTCTCTTATCATTCCTAGTCCCAGCCTCCCCTTAGCAGATTAACCAGCCAGTTGCCAAAGATGCTTTTGCCCCACATAGTGTTGAGTGGATCCTGCACCTCTTCCCTCGCAGTTCTTGATCTTCAGAGAAGGTCCAATGGATGTAAAAGCTGAGTCCTAGCTTTTGACACAAGCTGCACAACCAGTTGTTGGTCTGCAGGATCTGTCTCCTCTTCCTCAAGTCCTTCCCCTTTACCAGTAGGATGAAGGAGACACCCCATGCTCTCCCCACGCCTGGGTCCTCATACTCCGAGCCATGTAGCCATGCTTGATATACTCTCCATCTCCCTTGTCTGTATCCTTGGTACCCCTGTGGAAGAGCAGCTGAGGATAATAGTCTGAGGGCCAGAGTACTACTAGGGACCCAAGCCCCTGGCAAACAGCAAACCTTGCCAGGTGACAGGTTGGGCCGGCAGAGGTCTATCTGTCCCTGCAGCAGGGAGTTTGCCACCAGTGTTCCTTGCCCTGTCCTGCCTTGTGTGGCCACAGGACTCTGGCACAGCCACCTTGGAGGCTTCATTGAACAGAGCTCCCCGTCTTTGCTTGCTGTCAGGGCTCAGAACCTGCTCTGTAGATCAGAGCTGCAAGTGGAGCAGGAACTGTCCTCCTAATGCCAGAGCTCAGAAGCTCTCAAGCTTCACCAGACTCAACTCTTCCATGCCAGCCTGACAAGGTAAGGCTCTGCCCCCTTCTCATCAGTGTGGTGGGACTTCATGTTCCAGTAGCTGCAGGGTTGTGGTGAGTATCTGGTCCATCTCCTTTTCATCATCCCTGGTGTGGTACAGTCTACTCACCTTCTCCCACAGCTTCTCTGTTTGATGAGACAGGTCTTCCATCAGTGCATGCTTAGAATGACATACACTGTTTTTTAGTTCTAAACCTGCAGGTTATCAAAGCTAACTTACAACAGAGGCACTTTAAGAACTGGCAGATTCAGGAGTATAATACTACATCATTTATATGTCTAGAGACTGAACATACGTCTGTCGTATATTAATACCATGTATACAACAGATTATGGTGCATGCAGGAAGTAAAATGTAAAAAGAATAGTAAATACAGGCCTAAATACCTTATATGATTATGGACTTGAAACCAACTTTAAGGGCATGGTAGCTGTATTCAGTATGCAACATGGGTTTACAAAACAAATTTGATGGATTTTTAGGATAAAAGTATGCACAATACTCTGCTATCCTTGAATGGTAACACTGTTACACTAGAACACAGCAAACAAAGGGTTGTGATAAATAAGAGAAGTGTGAAAGAATGTCAGGTAGGTGATTTGAGTCTGATTTTGATCAGAGATCTAGAAGAAGAAGAAACCTACATTAATGAAATTTGTGGATAATAATAAGCAGAGAAATTGTGAAAGCAAGTGAAGATAGACAAGTGACCAAAACCCCTGGAAACAGAGGGTGACTGATAAACAGATGACTGATAAACAATATGAAATTTCAGTGCAACAAGTAGAAGCTGAAAGGAATGGAAAGAAAACCATCTGAAGTGGACAAGTTCCCTGAAGCCCAGAAGTCAGGGAAACTAATGGGTAGGAGTGTAGCTTGGGATTTGTGTGTGTGTGTTGCAATGTTAAGATATGTATATGGAGGCAGCCTGGCAGATAGTGCAACAGCAGTAATCTTCCCCTTGAAGGTTCTGCTGAATAGTGCTTATGACTTAGGGCTCTGTTTTTATGGAAATTAGCTTGTGAAGCTCTGAAGTTCATACTGTAGGACTTGGTAGGGTTTCTTCCATCTAAAGCAAAAAAGAACCCAGCACGCTAAACTTTCAGAATGGAAACTTTGATGTTTTAAGTGTGATTAATAGTAAGAAAGCTTACTGTTGTATGATACCCCTTAATCTTCTACATGAAAGGTGTTAGGGCACTGTTATTCTTTTCTCTATTGGTTTGCTATAAATGACAGATTCCTAGGAGAGCTTGTGACTATTTCAGCATGCAAGCTTTTAAAAAATAATTTTGAAATACAGTTGGGAGGCTATGATAGGTAGGTGGGATGAATCCTTGTATAACATAAATTATTCCCTGTATTTCTTGTTTATTTAGAACCTTTTTATTATGACTTCTTTTCTTCAGTGCTTATATCCTTTGCTGCTCCCAGTTGCTTGCTTTACCTATTACTTAATAGTTTTCCCAGGTACTTGTTTTACTTGGATCTTGATGATAAATGTTACTTTTTAGTGAGATATAACTTACTAATGAAATTATAAAATATTTCTCTTCCTAGTACTTGAACAGTGCATGTGAAATGTCTGTAAGTTTTCATTTAATTCCTTAAGTCAATAGCTGATGGGTTTTTTGAATGTATGTGGAACCCTGTAGGATGCATGATACTGGTTAATTTACTCATTTTTATATTTATTTTTTTATTTGTCTCTCTAGGATAAGCTTTTTTTCCTGGGTTGAGACAGATTATTACCTGTTCGTGTTCAATGGGCCGACGAATTCACTTTGTGGTTGACCCTCAGGGTTGGTGCTGCATGGGCCTGATTATCTTTGTCTGGCTGTACAATACAATCTTCATTCCAAAAGTCATCCTTTTTCCTCACTATGAAGAGGGACATATTTCAGTTGTGGCAATTTTGTGTAAGTCAATTTAACTTAGCCCTTTTTTCTGCTAGTAAAAATAGTATCTTTGGGCAGTAGTTAATATACATCAGAAAGGTCAGAAAAAATAGAATAAGGTGAAGGCTAAAGATAAACAATAAGTTAAAGGATGAGAGTAGTGGGATGGAGCCTACATTTTTGTGTTCTGAGAAGCTGAGACACTTTGTTCATTTTAGAGGTGTTATGGCAAAATTTGTTTTTGTGGAAACTGGGGAAAAGCATTAATACAGCTTTCAGGTCACATAGCTAAAACTTGTTGATAGAATTTCAGGCCCACAACTCTGAGTCCTTGTCAGAATTTGGGGTGGTAGAACTGATGGTTGACAAACTGAGTTTTGTTAGTTTTTTCATACATCCCTGGGTGGATCAGCTAGTATGAATTATGCTAATAGGTTTTGCTGGGGAAAAGGCTTGAATTATAACTGCAACCAAATTTTAAGTGAAGATGGACTATTGGGAATGTCCTTTCACATAGAGACTTCGAAGTGTAAAATGATTGGTGCTTATTTGATAAGACACTGGAGGAACTACTTCTTCAATACATTAGTAAGATCATAGTGGCATCCTTCTGGTGATATCAAAGCCTTTTAAGACTGGAGAGTACTTAATATTGTAGAATGTATAGTACCGAAAATACATCTGGAATTGAATGAGAAAGCTGACTAATTTCCAACTCAGTGCTCACTGCACCTGGAAAAGACTAACATGCTTATTTATTTTTCCAGGTTATTACTTCTGCTCATTGTTTTGTATAGTTTCATTACTAAGAGCCTCAGTAGCTGATCCAGGAAAGCTACCTGAAAACCCAAAGATACCAATTACAGGTATGTTAAGTTGTTTCTGTGTAATCGAATAAAGGTTATTTTAATGTCCTCAAAATATTTAGTAGCCAATTTGATTTTGTGAGATTTGATGGAAACTATGAGGTGTCTCTGTTGAAGCCTATATTGTTAATGAAATTCAAATTGGTATGTTACTGTTTAGCTCATAAAGTTCTAGCACTTTCCTTTATGTAGACCCAAAACTTCTTTTTCAAAACTTGTATTCCATCAGAGGTTTTGCTATGTAGGAACTTCTGCTAGGAAACTTTTCTGTGGGAAGAATCTTTTTGCATTCTAGGCTTCCAAACATATTGCATATACTTCTAACTTGATAATGTTTAATAAAAAATGTTTAAAGATGGTTAGTCATTGTAATTCTACAGCTTTTTTCTAAACAAATTTATAAGATGTTGAAAGTGGTGGTAGAAGGTACTCTTATGCTGGATTTTACCTGTGCATTTTTTACACATTTTTTTTGGTGACTTGTGTTTGTATGGGCTGTTAACCAAACAAATGTGATACTGATTGCATTGCATGCTATAGAGTAGCAACTTCTGTCCTTGTGAATTTATAACAAAATTCCTGTATGACATCTGATGCTCTAAAAATTGGAGGGAATTTGAAACCTTTCTTCAACAGAGAAAGCCAACATTTTTAAGAACTGTTTGGTGCTATTAAAGTGCTTGCTTAATGCATAGAGCTTTTACATAGCAGTTTAGAATGGAGTAGGGCTATTAAACAGCATGGGTTTTGTCACATTAACAGAAAACACTTTTTGAATGTAGGAAATGTATCAAATGCAGCGACGGGTGAATATTTCAGTCTTGTCTTGAAAATGTGGTGGATGCCAGGGATAACATTTTGCTCTCTCTTCCTGATGTTAGTGAGAATCCAGGGTGATATGTCTGGAAACATGATCTGTTTAGCCTCAGCACTGATATGATGTGCAGAAACTAGGCAACAGATAGCAGATCTCTCTGGGATTCAGATGTGACACACTGATTGCAGAAAATCTCCTGTCAATGTTCTTTATGCCTCTGGTACCTGAGACTTTGATCCTGTAAAATGAGAAGTGGCTCAGACTTGGGCCCTGCAGTCAAGAGTTCTTGCTGCAGGAAGAACAACATGGGTTCTGCAACCTGAGCTGGAGAATGAAGACTCTCAGTACAGTTACAGATGACATTACAGTGATTGAATGTTGATTTACCTGCAAAATACCAGGATCAGTACAAATTCTGTTGTGCACAAATGTTTATTTCTTTTTTAAGAGATCCTTTTGAACGGCTCTCCAGCTTCTTCATGCTCCATTCATTTCATATGTCAATGGTTATTTATAGATACTTCTGAAGATGGAACACTTAGGCTTGACTGTGACATTGATACTGTGATTTGGTGTGGGCTAGATCAGAGATTTTGTACTTTATAAAGTAGCACTTCAGTTCTCTGGTATTCTCTAGGTTGAGGGGAAGATATGTTTTTGCATGGTATAAACTGCATTCAAAAATGAAGTTGGGGTGTTTGTGAACTCTGCTGGTAGCTACCTTGTTAGGGAGTGACACCTTTGTGACACTGGATTTGTGGGAACAGATTGTAAATCACTTTCCATCTGGCATTATTACTAGTTTAATGATCTCAGATATTGGGCTTCTTTACTTGCACTGTCCGAATGTTATTTTACAGCAAGAAAGACAAGATTAGAGCTGCCTGCAGGTGGCTCAGAAGTGCTGAATTTAACTTTATTTTGTTTCCATAGGGACAGTGCTTTTACTATATTGAATTTCAGAATGTCTTACTCTGAAATCTAAGCTTATTTATTTTTCCCGACCAATTCAAGAGATTTCTCTGCATCAAAAAAGTTCTATTTAGGTAAAAACAACCAGTCAAAGTATTTAAGGTTCTCAGTCATGTCCCTATATTCCTTAAAGGCAGAGAGTGTATGGTTTTGTGAATAAAAGTATTAAAGTGTTGGTGTGGTTTGTTTCCCATGTGAATATGAACTTTCTGAATATATCATTTGAATTCTCATTTTCAAAGTTTTCTTAGAATTTGAAGATAAATTTGGAATTTGGGATAAATAATAGCTAAGCTGAACAATAGTGGCTCCAGGAAGTTTCAGCTACTCAGTATCTCTGGAGATCAGCTTAAGGAATTTCACACTGGGCATCCAAAATAGTGCATATTTTTAAATACAAGCCTATCCTCTGTCTGTTCTTTTGTTGTCTTACATGTAACATTGCATGTTGTGAGATGCATGTCTTAAAAGGCTTTGAGATGGGAGGTGCTCCTGAAGGGTTCATTGTGTATTTTATTTTAGTTGGCTAACTCTGACAAATTTAAGTAGCAGTATTTTCTCAGGAGGTTTTGAAATGGCAGGGAGATTGCGGGGTGGCTCTGTCTAGCAGATATGTTTTTTCACAGTAAACATGTAAGAAAAGAATTGAATTATGGTCTTCCTTGTTTGGGTGGCGTGTTTTGTGCCATAGTAGTTACTCCCTAGAAATATACAGGAAGAGAGAGGGTTTTGGAGAAGAAAACTGGCACAGAGGGGCAGTAATGTTTTCCCTGTTTAATTAAGGTGACACTGGGGAAAAAAAAGCTTTTATATGCTGCCTACCCTTCTCAGATCATAGTAAGATTATTTTTTTTTCCCCTTTGAATTGCTACCATATAGATTCATCACTAGCATGCTGTACTGAGTTTAAATCTCTCTAAGGTATCTTTAAATTTTCACCTAGAACGAGAATATTGGGAATTATGTAACAAATGCAATATGATGAGACCAAAGCGTTCACACCATTGCAGTCGTTGTGGACATTGTGTGAGGAGGATGGATCACCACTGTCCATGGTAAGACCAGTACATTCGTTCTAACAATCTGCTGTTGTTTTAGTGAATAACTTCAGAGTTCTTGGTCTTGACTATTGCTCATTTGTCATATTTCTGTCCTAGTAATGCTCAATCATTTAGGCATTCAAAGCAGGAAAAGAACAGCTTTGAGACATTCTTATGTCTGCAGGTAAAATTGACAGTAAGAGCAGTGTGACATTTAATCATTGTCAAATTGTTATATGCTGTATGGTTTAGGAAGATTCGCATCTTTTGTTTAAAGAATTGGAGTTTTTACTCCTAAAACTGATCTCAGCATAATTAATTTGTAGATTGCAGATTTTTATAATTTGTTGCAATTTATTTTTTGATGCTGGAAAAGATATTTTGGTAGGAAATTAGACAATATTTAGGTTTCCTGGATTGAAAAAAAATTTACAATTTTAACATAAGAGGGGACTCTCTTTACGATAATAAAAATAGATCATGGTTTCAGACAGTTTTTGATTTTTAGTTTACCAAATGACTGTGCTGAATAGAAAATGTTATTGACTCATACCATGCCCTTATTGTCGTAACCTCTCTGATTTTATAGCGAAATTGCTTGTTTTGGTGTTCTCTAACTAGTTTCAGTCAAAATGAACTTATCTGGCTGAAATTCTCTATATAAACTACGTGTTTGTAGCTTAAATGAAGTCAAACATTTCTTTCAGTAGTTCTGCAGTACCATTTCCAGCAAGACAGCAATGATGAACTGCAGAGGACAGAACTGACATGAGGATCCTCCTGCGTTGATAACCTATTTGTCACACTACCCTTTTTGTCAATCGCTGCTCCAGAAAATAGTACCAGTATAGTGCTTTTGTTGTTATAGCTTAGCTTTATACTGATGTCTGTGCCAATGCTTATATGAAATTGTGACCTCACCACATTTTTTGCATCAAAGTAACTCCTGTGGAGCAGACTAGACCTGGATTTCAAAGGTCTGGTAAAAAAATCTGGTACTTAGTATTTCTAGAATCCTTGTGATTTTCTAGTATTTCTTAGTATTTCTAGAATCTAGAAAACTCTGGTACTTAGTATTTCTAGAATCCTTATGATTCCTTTACTTCATTATGTTGGAGTATGCAGGAGTTTCTGAATAGAGGTGCCTGTTCTGCCTTCTGTTTCCTAGGCTCCTTCCTTAAATCGTGCTTATTTGTCATTGAGGTACCCTGTGATCACACTTTTTTCCAAATTATTTATTTGCATTTCCAGTATTATTTATTTGCATTTTCCAGTTTTTGGACTCTACACAGTACACAACCACTGAAATGTGTTGAGTAGCAGAAGATAATAAATATTACTATGAAATTTTGCAGACTTTAAAAAAATAATTTGGTTACTTGAGTTTTACTTAACATTGCAGGAATACCTCTGCCACATGAAAATATGGAGAAATATGTCTACTGTTCTAAGCTGTGATCTAAGTAACGTAACTTTTAATGGCAGTATAAGGAAATCACTGTTTACAGTAACTGTCATCTCTAACATACAGACCGTCACTTTGATTAAGAATGGAGTGATTAATCAGTAGTTCTTATGTTTGCTCATAACTTCTAATACTCTTATAACCTCTATTAAAACTTCTCTTATTCACAGTAACTGCATATCATAAACGCAGTGTTAAAGTCTTTATATTTTGTCTTTATATTTTAAGCTACAAACAAATATGTACACTTTGTTTCTCTGCAGGATTAACAATTGTGTTGGTGAAGACAATCACTGGCTATTTTTACAGCTCTGTTTCTACACTCAGATCCTTAGTTCCTATACATTGATACTTGATTTCTGCCATTTCTACTACTTTTTCCCTCTGAAAAAAGAAAACTGGGTAAGAATCTGTTTTCTTTACAAAGTGAATAAATAGCTAGTACTGCAGTGTAATTTATTTGGTATCTAGTTACTACATGTTTCTGCTGGCTCAATTGGTTAACAGTGGAGAGTTCACCCAGGTGTATGTTATCAAGTGAGCAAACTGATTTATGGTAAGTAAGTATCATTCTAAAAGGGTATATGTTTTTTATGTGTTAAAAACACAATGTTAGTTTTCTTAGAAATCTAGGAAAGGAGGATGGAAATGGTTAGGTTCCTTCAGAAGTGATTAGCAAATGCTGGGAAGAAGCAAGGTAGCTACTTTAGGCATATTCGAACTTCTTTTTACTTTCTCCAAAGTAAATCTATAATCTGTGCAGAGTATACATCTATCCTAAGTCCCTATTGAAAGATGCTGATGTTCCCAGAAAAATGAGAAAAAACCATGTGATCATTCTGAAAGGAGAAAAAAATGTCCATTGGTTTTGAAGCAATATTTTGTGTTGCTTTGAAAAGGTCATAAGAGAGAATTGCATTTGGTTTGTTTTACTTGGACTCCATGCTATTATCATATTTCAACATGTTGTCATGTGAAATGGAGTTGAGCACACGGAGAAAATGGCTTACGGATTGGAATAGAGTGAAAAAAATAAGGAATTTCTTCCACTAAGGATCTGAAGTTGTAAAGTCTCTGTGTCTGGTGCTCATTTATGTCTATTATCTCTAATGATCAGAATATTCAAGAGGTTTGCTTGAAAGTTACTGAATGGTTGGAAGTGCTAGAATAGCAAAGCTGATGTTCTTTCTTTTGAGGAAAATGTTATGAGGTCTTGCTCATAAAGAAACTAAAAACTTCTGCCTCAAATCTGAAGTGGACTTTGTACTGGACTGTAACAAATACAAGCGCACTACAGAGAAAAACCTAGAAAACAAGTTTAAAACAAATTCAAAGTTAGATAACATTCCAGATGTACTAAGTGAAGCGGCTAAGACCATCCCAGAAATGGATGGTTTACTCTAAATTTTGTTAAGATTTTTCCCAAGTACTGAAGTGCTGCAGATTTTTTTTTTTTTTGTTCTCTGTTGATGTGACACTCCAGCATACTCTCTGCTGATGGGTCACACCTGCCTTTCAAGGCTGCTGGAGACTGGCCTTTGGTTATAGGTAAGGCAAGTCCTGTTTTCCATTTTATTGATGAACTTAAGTTTCCTACATTATTTTTTTATCCTAAATGGTATAAACTAAAATGTTTAACTTCCTGAAAAGTTCTACTTCTGGAGAAGAATGGGGCATAGCCTTCCAAGCTTATTTGCTCCCGTATCAGTCTGTAGTGTATGTGAAGATGTTGTGTCAAAGGAGAGCTGAAAATGTAGGATGACTATGCTCCTTGGATCATCCAGAACTAATAAAAACATTATGTTCAAGTTGAGAGATACCAACATTTTATAATATGGAATGTGGCAAAGTTGAGGATTTTTGCAGATCTCTCTTAGAATAGCTTCTATTCTAAAGGAATTTCATTTTTAATTTTTTAATCTATATGAGTATTTCCATTTAAATGGTTTAAGGAACTCTAGAAATACAGAAAAGAGAAGAATTTGCTCTCTGCTTGGAGCATCTTTCCCTAGACACTGCCCTGCAAACTAAGAGAAACCTGTAAAATGTGTCTCTTAAAAGTGGAGTACTCGCATTTTTCACTTGTTTCCAGTTTTTTGCAGATGAGCTTTTGATATCTACCTTGTTTTACAGGCATTGTGAGATTGGAGAGAGCTATTTTGATTTGTTGTAGCTGCATTAAAGTTAAAAGGCATATGAAATTGCAGTCTTTCTGTATTAGCGACGAAATCAGTCACCTAAGTAAAATTTCTTATAAATGTGTTACATTTTGGGTTTTTGGAAATCTAACATTTTTGAAAGGTAACTAACTGTAAATGCCTTTTCTTCTAGTTTCAGTAGTTTTGTAAACTTCTTTTTAATTTATAAATTAAGTTAACCTACTATATTTCTGGACAGGGAAATCTTCTATATTTTCTGTATTCAGGAGGCCTCCTGTGCAGAGGGTTTGCAGGTTTCAAGTGCAAAGGCTTCTCAATGATACTGACCTGTGTACTGGACTGGATATTGCGGTGCTTCTAGAAGGAGTGTTATTTTCCAAAGATAAAATCTTTGTCTGAAGTCGGTTCTGCTTCTCTAATAGTGTAACTTAATGGAAGAATATTTCCTTTTGGTTGTGAGAGTCCCCTGAATGTTCTAGCTTGCACTGTGTTTAGATAATGAACCCAAGTTCTGTTTGTTAGCCCTGCTTTTTAAAAACATGATGAAAGGGAAACAAATTATTTGCTTGGTCTGTGCAAGAGAGGAATAGGGAAATCATGTTTACTTCAGATGGTTTACAACCTCTAAAGAAGTAATAATAAATATTTATTAACAGTTCAAAAAATGAATACATATAAAACTTTGTTCTTGGTGATTTAACTGGGTTAATTCCAAGAATTTTGGAGAGGGCTCTACTTTTAATATCTAGCCTTTAGAAGATGTGACAGGCTCTCTCAGCCTGTCCTCGCAGGAGAGGTGCTCCATCATTTTTGTGATCGTTTATGATCATTTTTGTGGCCCTCCTCTGGACCTGCTCCAGCAGGTCCATGTCTTTCCTGTGCTGAGGCCTCCAGAGCTGGATGCAGTGCTCCAGGTGGGATCTCTTCCAGAGAGAAGAGGGGCAGAATCACCTTCCTTGACCTGCTGGCTATGATTCTTTTGATGCAACCTGGGATATTGTTGGTTTTCTGCAGGTACACATTATCGACTGCTGTCCAGCTTTTCATCCACCTGGAATATATCTGTCATCTGAAGATGACATCAGAGCCCTCTTAAGCTGATTTTTTAAAGTGTGGCTAAGGATGTGATGCCGTGCAACTTTGTGCCACAAATAATTTGTCAGAATTACATAGTTTTGATGGGACCAGTGAGACATTTTGCCTACTATTAGGATTTTAGGAAAGCATCGGGCAAAATTCTTTTAGTCCTTGTATATCAATTAAAGCTGAAGTACCACAGCATTCCAGAGACTTCAGTACCTTCTACCTTTCATGGAAGTGCTATTCTTTGTCAAAATTTTGGCTGTAACCAAGAGCTTAATGTTTTCTGAATTGAAAGGGGCTAGCGTTTAGCACAAATTCAGAAAACTGGATAATTTTTTCTAAACAGCCATCTGGAATTAGCTTACTTTTTGCTCATTAAAAATACTTGTGAATTTTTTGGCGGTGTGCCTTTATCTTAATTTTTATTCTTTGGATATAAAATACTACATAACACAGAAGCTGTAGAATTAAAATGCCTTTTCATGCTGTTGTGAAATAATCATTTTATCACAGTACTGATGAATGCATTATGAAAATATGATCACTGTATGCATGTTAGTATTTCCTTCTGAATGAAAACTTGTGTTTTTTAAAGCTATTATCTTTAGAGACTTAAGTAATAAAAAACTAAACATTTTTAATTGTCTAGTACAGTAAGGGTGATAGCTATAAAGCTAATGGAGGAAGCTATTTCAGTAAAGATACAATCTTTCAACTTTAGGTCTTATAGCAGAATACTGCTTTATAGTATTCTTGGGTCTTGTAATTGATACAGTCAGAGATCGATTGTGGTTATTGCTGCTGTTTGTCCAGCAGGAGGAGTACAATTACTGCTAGAAATAGGGAAATGGTGATTAAATTGTCTATGTGAGATCCTAGCAGAAGAAAAATAAATAATTCGATAAAGCAGCATATAAGTTCTTCTGCTAGCTTTGGTGGTTTTTAGAGGCTAGGACTGGAATGTTCTTAATTTTGCATCTTCAATAAAAGACATCAAGGTCAGGAATGCTATATCTTCTAGGAAGTACTTCATCTTGAGGATAGTGAGATGTGAAGAATAAATACTAGTCTTCTCATGAATACATAGTAGCTCTCTGCATGGCTGTGCTGGCACAGATTCTAGACATAACTGGTGAAATAGAAGCAAAAGTAAATGCTTTGGTGGTATATTTTACCTGATTTGGCTTCTAATCTTTTCAGCAAAAGAAGTTTTGCTGATACGTTCTGTTTGCTAGAAATGTTACTAGAATGACTGTCATAGCAAAAAACACTGACACATGAAAACCTAAACCCCTTTGATCTGGTTTAGTTTTATTTTGTTCCTGGTTCTGCAGTTGTCTATTGCAAACTATGAAAATATTGTTACTTAACTAATTTTTGAAGTATTCTGAGCTCTGTTGGTAGAAAGGGAGGAACGTTATGGAGGAAGTATGGCAATATCAGCCTGCTCTGTCTGGGACTCAGCCTTCCCAATTCCAAATTAAAGGTGTTGGGAAATATTCATTATACTTTTTGAGAAGATGATTTACAGTAATATTTATTTTGATATTATGTATTAACAAATATTAATTAAAATCTGGAAATATGGATCATCCAAAGTCCATTTATATTGTAAAGAGAATCTAAAGGAAACCTGTTCTCTTAGGGTCATGAAATGACCTACAGGATGTAAGAGTTTTTAGGAAAACGAAAATACATCAAAATTTTCCTTCTCAGTGTTCTGCAAAATAGACCAAATCCTCCTATCCTCCTGTATTACTCATTTAGTAGACCTGAAGTGGTTTTGAATCAAAAAGTGCTTTACGTAAACATCAGTTGTTTTTAATAATAAATATCTCTACAAAAGGCTTATTAGAATGCAGCTTGTGTTCTATGAATTAATTTTCTTTTTTTTTTTTTAACATGAGTGAATTTTCTCCCTTTTACCTCTCTTTCCACTTTCTTTCTGCAAAACCTGCACTCTGTATTTTTTGTTTTGTTTTTTTTTTTTTAATCTGACAGCCTGGCTTTGTTCTGTATTCTGCACTGGTTTTATGATAGCCAAGTTGATAGACTGACTTCATCACCAGACTGGGACAGACATCCTGGTCATTTGCAACTGAGAATAGACAAGCAGGTTAGCATGTGTTACGTGAGGAATCCCTTACCCAAGAGAAAGATGAAGTATCTTAATATATTTTGTTAGTATATTAATTTCTGTGTATATCATATTTCACCAACGAATCAAGATTGAATAAAGGAATCTTACATTGTAAATGAAAATTTATGAAGATTGTTTTTCAGTTTGTGTCTTCTGTAGCAGATACAATAGTCATGTGCTGGTCTTGCTGAAAGCTCTTTCCTGTGTACAGAGCATGCTGTTTTTGAAGGAATGCTGTAAACCCTTGAAAATAATAACCCAATACTGCAAATGGCCGGGACGTGTTAATGTGGTCATATCATTGAATGTGATCTTGAGCTGGACCCATCATTGTTTTTAACTACTCCGTCATGAAAGCATAAAGCTCTAATAGTTGTTTTCCTAGTCGATGGTAGCACTCGTCCATAACAGTTGATGCTCACAGATGAAGACATGGCATGTGCTCTGCTGGAAGTCTCATGTGAGTCTGTCATGGTTACTGGCTTCTTGTGGGGTGTATTGGTACTGCTTATTAAGACAAAGATGCCTGATCTCATGGTTTGTAATCAATTCCTCAACATAATCCTATGGGCCTACACTTCGTTTCTTATTTTATGACAAGTTTCTGTTTTACACATCTCTACCCACTTTTATAAGTTGCCAAGAATCATTGCATTTTGACTGGATGGATAGGAATAGTAGTTAAAGGGAACTTAAAAACCTTTAGAACAGACTACAGCCTGGAGGGAGAGCATGTCTGAGCTATATAGGAAATGCTAAGCAAAAAGCATTGCAACCCACATGAACTGAAATTTTGGCTGTGATGTTGACAAAAATGAGAGAAGAAAGGGGCTACCTGAAAGGCAGCTCTCACATTGTTATAACATGCTTGCTAAGGCCATGTGTATCAGCCTGGCCCACAACATGGGGAAAAGCTGCTATGGGACAAAACCATCTTGTGCCATGAGAGAGAGGTTCATCCCTTGGTGATGTTATCTTACGTGTGGTTATGCTGCGTGTCTCAGGCTGCCTGATTCTTTCTCCTAGCACAGATAGTGTGATTCTGGAGGCTGTGAGGGGCAGGCTGTCTCAGTACTCGCACTGCACTGAGATTGGTGAGTCCTAAATGGTGTTTGAAGAGAACCTGTTCAAAATGCATTGAAAGAGGGTTATTGACTAGTCTTGGGGTGGTTTTCTTGGCTGGGAAAAATAATCTTTATCAGCTCTGAGAAAAATAAAAACAAATTGTATTGAGGTTTTATGTAAAGCAGAAACACCCTAAATAATAATAACAATAATTATTATTATTACTACGATCTAAATGGATTTTTTTTTAATCCTCTTTTTTTTCTGTTTTCATCGAGTCACATGTTTTTATTTCAATGCAGAATTGTGAAAGTAGCTCTGTTATTAAGGTCAGATTACCAGAAGACTCTGTGCCTGCATATAGTTTAGTTTTCTACAGAAAAATGCTGTTATTTCTGGACAGGGTGCTAGGTGAGGGCACAGTATTGATTTCCGGGTCATCATTGCCTCAGGGTGTTTGATTCCCCTAGGGCTGTGTAATGGCTAGAAAAAACATTGGTGATGTCACCTCTTAATCATTAGTAAGTCAGCAACCCCCAGTCTTCTGCAGTAGATGCTTTCATCTTTTAGGGAGGGAGGAAGGAAATCAGGAAGGAAGGAAGGAAAGAAAAACAGAGTAGTAGTCTTCACTTCAGTGTGAAAGGTTTTTCCTTTTCTGTACCTCTAGTTTTAACACTGGATAGAAGGGTCAAATGCAAAATGCAACCTGCCTTCTTTATGCTAGGATTTTCTGTTGGCATGTGTTGACTGATGTCTCTCTGTCCTGCTGAAGATGATGCTCAAGAGAAGGAACTCTTCTAATTAGATGGGGGGAGGAGGATGCTAAGAGCTGTGTTAAACTTTTTTCTGATGGAGGAGTGTGATGCTAGATCCAGAATGTGACTTCAGTGTTGGCACTCTTCTGTTACATTTCACTGCTGTCTATCAAGTTGAGTTTGACTATGATAAAACATTTCTGATATAATAAAACAACATACCTATGAACATATGAAGAGAAACAATTTTACAGCTAGTAGAACTTGTGTCTTACCTTGCTTTTCGTTAAAGCTTGGTGGGCTGGTGGAAAGAGCAATAAAGATTAGTAGGAATGCTTTTATTCTGAGTTGATATAACTTTGAATTAACTCATTAACTGAGTAAGAAGAGTTTGAAAAAAAAAAAAAAGAAAATGAAGCATATTTTTTCTACAGCAGCAAGAAAGGCCAATACTAACAAGAGCTGGCTTACCATTTCAGAAAAGACTGATAAGGTTTGGTTTTTGTTTTATGTGGTTAATTGGTGAATTCTATGTGTTCATTAAATACTGACTTTATTCACATGTTTAGTATCCAGTATAATCTTTGTATTTTGAACCTTTATAGAAATAATATATATATTTTATATTTTGAAACTTTATAGAAATAATTTAAATCTAAAATCTTCTTTGCTAAATATAATTTACTTTAACTATTCTCTGTTTAATTAAAACCCAGTATTCCTGAATCTAAGAATTCAACTTCCTTAAGTCCTACTGGTTGAATGTAAAGAAGGAAAGATCAAAAGCAGTGGTTGGTTTTGTTTTGGTTTTTTTTTCATTCAGTTCACTTTTATGTTCTGGTTGTAATTTAAAGTTTACTTGAAAGGTTTTAATAGTTTCCTGCTGTGATCTGGCTTTTCTAAGTGGAAAAACAGATGTGTACATTCAAAAGACAGCCTTGAGAACATAATCGTAACTTATAAATAAGAGAATGGGTGTGTTAACTCATTATCAGAGGGTAAGATGGGGTGTGAACTCGCAGTACATCTACAGTAACTGCCATGTACAAATGTTTTCCTGTGATAAATATAAGGTGTCTTATCCTTTGAAAAAGATCTATAAAACTCTTTTACACTTTTCATATCTTCTGCTGGGAGAGAGCAGGCTTTCCAGAGCAGCTGATACAGTGAATTCATATCCTCCCGTAACCTGAGGCAACTTGGTTGTGCACCCATATGCAAATAATCCAGGAAAGGTCCACATTTAAAAGATAAAGATAAATTTATGTTGGATAATAGACAGCATTACAGTGAGACCAATCCACTACAGAGATTTGGATTTTGTAGGTACCATCTTCAAAAGTCAAGCTAGGAATGTTGTTATCCTTATTACAAAAGAGGTGATGTTAGAATGAAATTGGCTGTGGCTAGGAGCTGAGATACAGGAGGCTTACACATCAGACTGTTTTAACAGAATGAGTTTCTTATGCTTTGGAGCTTGTGTGTAGCAATTTGGCACAGTTTGAGATGGAAAAATCAGGAGTAACCCATTTGAGCTTAACTCTATTCCCAAATCTTAAATATCTGAACAAGCTTTTTTAGCAGTCTGGAAAAAAACCACAACTGTGTACCTGTATAAATAAATAATTAGTGCTTTATAATTTTAGCACATAAATGTATCAATGATTTGGAATGTAGCTTAAAAATCCAGTATTTGCCTTTAGCTGTAAGTCTTCAGAACAGCTCTTATCTAGTGTTTCCACTCGGTTCAAAGACTTAAATTAATTTTTAAGTGCTAAAGTTTCTCTCTTCTTTCTGTCTTGTTCTAGGATGTTTTTGTATTTAGACATGAACTTGCTCTCCTAAGAATATCTGCCTTCATGGGTCTAACAATATTAGGTGGAATAAGTGGACTCTTTTACACTCAGCTAATGGGTATTTTCACTGTAAGTATCTAATTTTAGAAGTATATATTAGTTTTATTTTCAATAAAATTAATTAAAGCAGAAAAGCACATTGCATTTAAGAGAAGACTAGAGAAACCCTTGCAGTGTGAGGCACCTATTTGGTATGTACTCTGCCAAGACTTTTGTCTCCAAGGAAGTCTTAAGTCTTCTAACAAACAAGTGTCTAATAATTCACCTATCAAGGCAATTTCCTGATTTGTATTAGTAAAATAAACCCATACATTTTCCTGGAATTGTGCAGTGTACAAGGTACGTATTTGTGGTTTCTGATTTTTGTTTTTATTTTAAACTTTCACGTGCCCTGGTCTCAATTATACTTTGTGACAGTGAGGCCCACTGATAAATCATACGTTTGGAGAACACAGACTTTTTGTTAAGTATTTTAATAAATATGCTTACGTTCATATCTCTTCAATTCCTCACTAAGCTGTGGAATGGGATCAGGTACAATTTACAGTCCAAATGCATATTCTGTATTTAAAGGTACAGGAAAAACAATCCTCTGCGTGGAAAATTTTTCCAGTTAAATTAATTTGGAAATTTAATAGATAACTATAAGAAACAAGCTTTTGTTGCTGTAACATCCTGTTCTGGACATTAGAAGTTAATAGCTGCCAGTGAATTCTTTAAAGTTATGTTGAGAATCCAAGTGTTTGAAGTACTGCAGTGTTAAACAGAGGCAGTACATTAGTTGGATCTGTATATGTCAGAAAGGGTCTATGACCTGGCCTGCAATACTAGTGTACAAGATAACAACATCTTTGTGACTACAACTGATTGAGATCTGCCTGAGATTTTGTTTGGGGATTATGAGGGTTTACACAATATTAACCTTTGTAGGTGCATAATGGAAAACCTCCTAACTGTATTATGTATTATTAATTCCTTTGTATGGAATAAAGGACAAAAATTACTGTATAGTTTTTCCTATAATGTTGCTTATTGCTTTTGTTGTACTACCTTTACATAAGTTAACTGCCTTCTGCTCTCTGTGTGACTGTAGCTATGCTGTGTATTATTTTTGCCATCCTCCAGCTGCTCTACCAGACTGCTTTCTGTACTATCTGTCAACCCCAAGGTCTACAGATTTATCTTTGTGTCCCTTTAGTGTGTGCCTGATTTCCGTTCCAGGGTCTTGCTGACAGGTTCTCACCTCCCTGTTTAAATACTGGCACACAGCCTTTGTGTCTGTGTCCTCTAGAGTTTGGATTTTTTTCTAATCTGATACTACTACTAGATGAAGTGGTGCAGACATCTGAATTCTGCTCACCCTCACTCACAGTAGTGGGAGAGACAGAAACTCAGGGAGCCTGAGAGTTCAGATACTGCAATATGGATGTCTGTTAAGTGGAGAAGAAACAAAAAGCCATGTGATTGGTACTACACTAAAACACAGAAATGATACAGAAGAAGACAAGGATAAAAAAATCTAAGTCTACCATTTTGTTCTCTGTGCTGCCAGAAGCTAGACTATGTTTTGGCAGTGGCAGTCAGCATCCATTCAGATACTTCTGGTATACATGAAATTAAAACTCTCAGACTGAATCTGATTCTGTCAGATACACATGAAACTTGGACCATCTCTGTTCTGTCACAGGATACCAACTGTGCTGCCTCTGCAACAGGTATGAATTCCCAGTGTGTTCTTTCACTGTGCTGAACCTTAACACTTTCAGGCTGCTACCACCACTGCAAACTCTTATAAAGTGCTGCAAAGCCCCTTTATTCTTTGTCAGTTGTATAATACAGTGTGAAGTACATCCCATTGCACTTACTGAGCTGGCCACTACCCTGGAACAGATGTGGGCTAATAGCATTCTCAAGTCCAACCTCCTTTGATGTGCTCAAATCATAATTCTGTGGATGGCTGAGCTGCAGTAAGCCTGGATACTCTCTTTTGTCCTCTTTGCCAAACTTTGTGAAACAAACACACCACAGGAATTGCGGGTATGGGTGGCCTATGAGAGGCAGATTCCGGAAAGTACAGATCTACTGTGTTAGGGTCTCTCGCTGCACCTTGTCTGTAGCAGAGGGGCTATTGTGCTTGCCTCATATGGACAAGTTTTTAGGTTTGGGGTTGTTGGGTTGGGATTACTGGGAAGTAGATATCTATCATTGGGATCTCCAAACTCTAATTCATTCACATTACGTGGATGCTGTTGCATTGACTTACTGAAGAATGTGGGTCATCTAGTCCATCCCCAGCTCAGAGTGTTCCCGTACCAGCAGTACAATTGTCTTCTTCCTTTTCATTCCTTTTTTTTTTTTTTTGTGAGTACAGAATTGGCAAGAATAAACAATGCAGTCATTTTGAGGAAATCTGCTTGGGAACAACTGGTCTGACTTCAAACGAACAAAGCCAAACCTGTTCGGTGAGGTTTGTGCTTAGTGTGCACGTTGTGTCAGAAAATGTTTCTGTGCAGAAGGTTTCCTATTTTCAGTATTTGCAGTGTGGGGATTTGCTTCCTCCATAAGCACTTACTGACAGCCTTTGGCTAGCCAATGGAAAAGGCAGGGGAGAGGGCAGCAGGTGAGTGAGTAGTTTCTTTGTGGGCTCCCCAAAGTCACACCTGTGATGCACAGAATAGGGAACCAACGAAACTTAAGTGTTATACCTACCCACGGTGCTGAGCACACAGCGTGGGAGGTGTCCATGTCCTGTAGAGGCAATAAACTGTGATCACTAAGAGAAGGTGATGTTCCTACTGCGTTCTGTGCTGCAGTTACTCTTCAGCATTTCACCTTCCTGTATAAACTAAGCAGATTGTATCTGGAATGAGTTTTATGCAAAATAACGAATTAATGATGAAATTAAGCTTAACTTAGTATAACTTAAGGATCAAAATTTATTTAACAGCAGAACACAATAACTGAAGTGTGGTAGTGCAGACCCAATGTTAATGTAAAAGAAAAATACTTGAAGGCATAGATACACACAGTTAAAGCATTTGTTTTATATTAATTGCTCCATGGCTATTCTTGAGAACATTAATTTCAGTGACTGCCCAGAGATGTGTGCAAGAGAAGTGTACAAGAGCATGGGTCTTTTGAAAAAGGTGAAGCAGAGCAGCTCTAGCTTGTGCTTGTACAGGAAAACAGATAACAAACATTCTCCTGGTTCATGCTCCATGCCTGTGTTTGCAGTTTAACATCAAGCCAAGATTAGTTCCACAGCTCCTGGATAAAATTTAATTTTATATAATAGAGCCAATGAGCATTGCAGCTATGTCATCTAAACTTTGACTGATACATACTGTTGCTAAATGATTTCAGCAAGTTCAGGTTTGTTGGGGTTTAATGTTATTATTTACCTGTATTTCAAATCCTGACAAAATTGTACTTTTTGAAAGAAAAATAAACTCAAGATTTATCAAACTTTGACCCTCTTGTAGCAAAATTTCCTGATTCTCTATAAGGTAGACTTCCTAGACCATCATTATATAATTTTCCAGAAACCAAGCCAATAGTTTCTGTATTGTCTTATGTAAAACTAAGGCTAACTTTCCTCCAGGAGTATTGGACATGCATATTAAAAAATCCCCGGTTTTCAGTCTTTCAGTATCTTCTACATACACGGAATTTGCTGTGCTTACTGTCAGTCTCACAGAAGCAACATGGGATAAAGAAACTGCAGAGTTGTTTGTCCTCATTTAGCATTATCAATAATAAGGAACTAGGTGCTGAAATGGCAACTTCGAACTTTGTTGTTTGTGACTGACTTCCACAGTCCGATGGCTCTGCTCAGATGTAGGTGATTGGAATGTAGCATGCATTGTGAAGTGTGATACATACCCTTGGTCAGAGCACTTGTGCTGATTCTTCACATTTACAGAAGTTTATCCTTTGCCACTGCAGCAAGATACATAAAGCTGATCTCTATGTACAGCATTTTTATCAGCACAGTTGCTCTTCACTAGAGTGGAGCTAAGTGATAGCTGACAAGCTATAAGAATGAGCAGAAGTCTTTTAATAGTACTTTAAGCGGAAATACTGGCATTTTCTCCTCTTTGATAAATTCTTTCAGAAGTCAAAAAATGTTATCCAACTGAATATGTAGTGGAGATGATATATCTGATATACTACAGTATGGAGCAGGGTGGTAGCTAAAACAGGAAAGCAAAGCATTGCGTTATGAAGTGCAGGTGAAGTATTCCGCCACGTGTGCTGTCACTTTCCAGAATTCAGAGGTGTTATGCATGTGACTGATCTTCTGCGCCTGTCATTGCGTCACTCTCATTGCTTGTAACAGTAGGTTGGTTATTTAGGTGTTATTTAAGAAAAAAAAAACTCGTAATCTGCTGTTCGCCATGTTTCACGTGCGTTCAACAGATACCAAGATGCTTGGAAAAATTGTGCTCTCTGGTAAAAATAAAACCTTTGTAACTTGAGTACTCAAATCTGTCTCTTGCACAGAGAATGTTCTTAACGCTGTACTGCTTGAGAAAGTGATTAATAGACCGAGTTACCTAATATGCAGTAATTTCTCTAAGTCTGTTTACTGCCTCTCCTACTGTGGTATCACTGTTAGGGTATCATTAGCACAAGGGTATTCATATCTCGTCTGGAGGTCCAGGAAGCCAAAGAGCAAGGGAGGTGACTTTCTACAATGAGAGAACAGCTGGTTAGCAAAAACTGTCCTTAGAGGAACTTTTGACATGAATTGTTCCAATGAAGAGGGGAGCAGCTGAGGTGGCCTCTGTATATGAGATTAGTGCTTTCTCCCTAGAAACTAGCATATGTGAAACACACTTCCAGCTGAAGGGGCACATGGCTCTTGTCATCCTCCTCCTCCAGTTGCTTTCCCCAAGCTCTGCCTTTACTCTCGTCATCATCCTGAATTTTAACATTTCTTCCAGCATGTACCTGAGATCGCTCTTGGGGAATGTTTATTCAGAAACGTTGGAAATTGAGGTATCTAAGTTCTCCCTAACTCAGAAGCCTCTGTAATTTAAGATCCTAATTTAGGAACCTTAGGATCC